ACAGGTGAAACTATCCCCCGCCGGACACCATCACGGTGTTTCTGAGTCAAGGTTTCGGAGCCTGAATTTTTTATGTTACTAGGTAGGCTTAACAATCGTGTATTAAAGTAGGAAATTTAATGATGATAGGCTCTAGGCTAGGTCTAAAGTGTAGACTAGCCAGCCTTTGTTGAAATGGCACTTCATGAAAAGGGGGGTTCGTTCGAACCCAACGAACCCCCCTGGCTACGGGCTTGAGAAATACCCACTTGAATAAGTCTTCTTCGGACTTTCGTGGGTTAGTCTTGGTGTTCAACACACCACATAAATCCATATCCAAAACAGCCTAAAGGTCTTCCTCTAATTATAAACCACTCTCTGTGGCATCATATCGACAAATGTCTTTTATCGTTATTATTCTAATTAGTAACAAAAATAAAAAATAAAAAAAGCTGCTAAAGACTATGGAAATCCTGGTCCCGGGATTAGTTTCTGATATCAAACTCTGGCCGCATTTTACAGTTCTTAATATTTCATTGTTTTTTCAGAGTTTTATGGAAGTTCAAACAATGAAGCAGCAGTCAAGAATTAAACATCTTAGGAGAACATGTGCAAAGCATAGCAAGCTTTCCGAAGGACCGATACCAAAAGAGACATTAAATCATATTTATGTTAATTATAAAATCAAGGGCCTTTACTGTTATGTTCCGAAAGTTGCATGTACCAACTGGAAGCGTGTTTTGATGGTGTTAGATGATTATTCCAAACCAATTGAAGATATTACAGAGTGGGAAGCACATGAAAACAACGGTATGACAGTTTTAGCGTCATTACCTGAAGAGGAGCAAAAAGCCGTGTTAACGAATTTTACCAAGTTCATGGTAACCAGGGAACCATTTATTCGCATTCTTTCAGCGTACAAGAATAAGTTTGAGAACTCGGACGAATACGATAGCAAGCCACATTTTCAATATTATGGCAAACTTATCATGGCGAATTATCGTAAGAAACCATCGCAAACAGATATTGCAACTGGACGCGGCGTACGCTGGACGGAATTCGCTGCTTACTTAACAGATCCTCTCCAGCGAGACGAGTTTGAAAATCATTGGCAGGATATGAATAGGATTTGTTCGCCTTGTAAGATAAAATATGATTATTTAGCCAAGCTCGAGACAATAAAAGAGGATGCAGAGTTCATTCTGCGCACTTTCAACGTATCCCATATAGTGACATTTCCAAAAGCGCATATTAGCCACTCTACATATAGTCAAAACCAATACAATGAATACTATGACCAATTAACTATTGGAACGATCAAGAAACTTTCGGATGTATACCGACTTGATTATGAGTTATTCGGCTACCCTAAGCCTACTTTATTTTGATCTGGCGTACTGACTACAGACAGAATTTCGATTCGAGTTCATATTATTACGGACACGTGATGTTTCAAAGTATGTACACTTGGACCAATAATAGTACGTAGTGGATTATGGTTTTATGCTTTATAAATACCTCCTCAGGTGTATGCCATTTCAATGCTTATTCGTTTTATTTTAATGTGTTGTTGTGACGTCATATGATTTATTTTTGGAACTCGTTTTCAGCTAATGTGATACAGAAGTTTTTTCGATTCTTAATAATTCACACAGGCGCAATATTGGTCATATCAACATAATATCAATAAAAGCAGGGGTATAGCTATTCAT